TTAATCTGACATTATCAAATTTGTCATTTAAAGTGACAACTCTGCAGTGAACACAGCTTATGCCTCATGCCTCATTATCACGCGTGATATAGGGCAGTATATAAAACTGCTTTTCTGATGTGAGGGGCACATTATACTTCCACGTGATTTCTGTGCGGTTGGTCTCTACGTGACATGCTTAGTGGAAACCTCATAGAAAGCGGTGAGTGTGCAAAGCTGTGTTCAATGTGATTGAAATCTTGGTTTGGAGTTTCTTTGTTTGGTTATGGAGGCGTCTGGCCGAGTGAGTTGCTATCAACTTGACCTTTCCAGGCTCTGAAGAAGGCGAAATTCGCCGAAACGTCAGCTTAATCGTGAACAAAGAATAATAACACCTCGCGTTTGCTCAGCAAAAGTGCGAGCAAATCGGATCTTCGGATCCCATCCCTTACTTGTGTGAAACGGGATATCACTAGCATCGTCCTTTCGACTGCGCGTTCGATAACGCTGAGTGATCTTTCAACCTGCTTACGCATCGAACAGGTTTTCGACGCATACGTTAACGCAAGAAGTACCGTTGGGTCGAAAAGGTCGGTTCGGAGTTGGGTGTTTCCTGTTCCCATAGCCGCTCCTCTCCTTCTGCTCAACTCTGGATCTAAGTCGTTAATCATGTTGATTTTCCCACCTAAAAAGACATAAATGGAGCATTCAGAGATACACGTTCCGTTGAGCGTGAATGGGGCATGTGAAACCAATCCGTTCTTCATGAAAATCGTTTTTGTGAAATTTAATCGAAGACCAATCTTTTCTCAGGCTCTATCAAAGTCGGCCAACATTCGTCCCGCTTGGCTAATGCTTTGGTGTTATAAGGAGGATGTTATAAGCAAAGCGAATGTAAAACGGTGTAATTGCCGACCATCGATTCTCACTCCCATGTTGTCCGATTCCATTGTCCGCATGACATTGGTGGCGTTTGTCCATGAACATCGATTCCTTTGAACAACTTACAACCCGAATCGTACGTTTACGATTAAGAAGACGTGGATCAATTTCGGCTTTGACATTCTTCGTCGTATACGCGCCAACATCAACCTATGACGAAGAAGAAGTCGAAGTGTTCTATATGGACTTGGAGAAGTTCTACAGAGAAGACCACACATTCTTCAAGATAATCATTGGAGGTTTTAACGTCAAGATTGGACCAAGAAGAACGTCTGAAAAACGTCACATTGGCACCCACGGATTAAAAGCGAGCGAATAGGGTGAGTGGCTCTCTGAGCTTATCATGACGACCAAGACCATCCATGGTAACTGGCAATTCCAAAAGCCACACTCTCAACGCTGGACGTGGAGTCTCTCAATAGAGAGCACCATAACGAAATAGACCAAATCATAGTAAATAGAAGGTTTCGCCTAACCGATGTCGCTGTTGTCCCAAAATTCTACACGGGATCAAACCACCGACTCCTTCGTGCAAGATTCTATTTCTCGCGGAAGGGAGAAAAAGCCACCAAATTCCAAAAACCAAAGTCCCAGAACCACCGTAAACTGGGATTTATTCATTAGTCGGCTGTTGGGAAGATGCCATTGTCGACAACATCGACGAAGAATACGATCGGCTCATTCAACATCACGTTAGCGCTATGAAAGATCAGAGTTCGAAAGTCACCAAGAGACGTCTGCCTCCAGAAACACTCGAACTAATACGCCAGGGTGGAATCGCACGAGCTGCAGGCAACCGGTTACTAACGTCCGAACATGCAAAACAATGCAAACAGGCGATAAAAGAAGATCTTAAAGACAGAACAGCAACAGTAATGCCCGAACCTGCAGAGGCTGGGAAAAGCATTGGCAAAGCTCATCGAAGCTTCGCCAATTTCAGGACCAAGATGATTGCACTCCGACGCCCAGACGAAACAGTTACAGCGCCCAGAAAGGCAATGGAGGAAATAATTCACGAACACTGCTCGAATCTCTTCGATAGCCACGTCCACCTTTCGTTATATGAAATAAGGGAGGATGGATATGTTGCACCACCGGTTCTCCCACCCGAAATCCAACATGCCATTTCGTTCGTTAGAAATCGAACAGCACCAGCTCCGGGCAAGATAAGACCAGAACACCTAAAGAACCATCCTCTAGTCCTCGTAAACACACTTTCTCGGCTCTCCACACGTTACATGTCTGAATGCAAAGTCCCCACTCAGTGGAAGACCAGCAGGACCGTGTTATGGTTCAAGAAGGGTGACCTGCACGATATCGGCAACTATCGCTCAATCTGCTTACTGTCTTTCGTCTACAAGCTTTTTACTCGAGTCATCCTAAACAGGATTTAAAGACCACTAGACGAAGGACAGCCACGTGAGCAAGCAGGGTTTCGAAGAGAATTTAGTTCGACGGACCACATCCACAGGGTAATACGGCCCATTGAAGTATCGCAAAAGTGCAAAAGACCGCTCTGTCTCAGTTTCATCGATTTACAGAAGCCCTTTGATTGAGCTGAGATAGAAGCAGTCAGAGAAGCCCTTCAAAGTTGCCGAGGCCCCACTCAGTACACAAGGATTCTTTGTCAGTTGTACAAAAATTTCACAACCAAGATATCACCATTCTACAGCGATATTAACATTGACGTCAAAAGAGGAGTTAGGCAAGGCGATACCATCTCACCAAGAGTATTTACCGCCATCCTCCAGAACGTCATGCGAACATTGGACTGGGATAATNTGTCTCAGTTTCATCGATTTACAGAAGCCCTTTGATTGAGCTGAGATAGAAGCAGTCAGAGAAGCCCTTCAAAGTTGCCGATGCCCTACTCAGTACACAAGGATTCTTTGTCAGTTGTACAAAAATTTCACAACCAAGATATCACCATTCTACAGCGATATTAACATTGACGTCAAAAGAGGAGTTAGGCAAGGCGATACCATCTCACCAAGAGTATTTACCGCCATCCTCCAGAACGTCATGCGAACATTGGACTGGGATAATATGGGAGTGAAATTCGACGGTCGGCAATTGTCACCATTAAAACGAAGACGATGCAACTGCGGACCGTCGATTTTCACTCCCCATATTATCCCAGTCCAATGTTCGCATGACGTTCTGGAGGATGGCGGTAAATACTCTTGGTGAGATGGTATCGCCTTGCCTAACTCCTCTTTTGACGTCAATGTTAATATCGCTGTAGAATGGTGATATCTTGGTGGGGTCAATATTGATGTGCGATTTTATTAGGTCTAATGCCAAAATAACCTTACAACGAAAATTCAAAAATCTTTTAAGCTCTTGAGACTTTTGTTCCAGTTCACTTTCCTCGCATTGCTGGGCTTATCAGGGAAATTGCGGTAACTATTCGAGAACGAGTAATCGGACAAGTTATGATATGTAGCGATCACATCGAGGGCCGCGTGGCGCAACGGATAACGCGTCTGCCTACGGAGCAGAAGATTGCAGGTTCGAATCCTGCCGTGGCCGGTAGTCTTGCTGCAGGCCCGTTTCCTCGCATTGCTTCGCTCGTCAGAGAGTTTTCGGAAAAGTCGGAGTCATCAACCATATGCGGCTGTAATCATCTGTACTAATCTTGCTCATTGGAAGTAACATAAAACAAGGGCTCTGACGAAAGCGGTACTGCCGAGACGTCAGCTACTGTTGTGTTGCACTGTGCCTTTCTATTGAAGTGAATTTATGCTCTATAACAAACTCGTGATTGCCGAACAAGAAAACGACGCATTCATAATTCAGCGCCGAGGTTAATAGAAGGTCGATCCTGGGAACTGTTGCAAAACAAAAAAAAGTGCTGATTGCTCTCCGATGTACACAGACGGAGCGTTCAGGTATTTATGCTTTGGTCTACAGCTGATTGTCAGTTCACAGAAGACGTCCTGTTTTTATAAACCGCAAGTGTTGTCACTTAGCATAAAATGATAGATAATAGAGGAGTGGTGTTCATCAGTCGCTGAGGAATGTGCCATGCGTTCAGCACTTTCAAGTGATGAGGGTAATTGAATGCATACTAGCCCTATAAAAAGAATTTCCAACTGACAATGAATCAAGTAAGAATCTTATCCTCATAGACAAATTCGGTACCAGTGTGTAGCCCGATTGAGGGCGTGGTTCTCATGGGGCAAGTTACCGAACCAGTGACCACGTGGTATTGTAAGACGAAGTGAATCAATGCATGAGGGCTCCACACCAGTCATAATTTCGAATAATAAAGGTTACAAAGAATTTCACCAGAGAACTTCTCTTTGTTGTGAGCTAACAGAGAAAATTGTATGTGTCCTGTCAACTATTACGACTCTTGTTCTTACGGTTCGGTTCGAATTTTCCAACAAATTTCTTTACTTCCAACGAATTGTGGTTCGACGGCTTTACTGAAATCAGGAATTCAATGTTTTCGTCGCATTTAAGGTTTAATTTGTCTCGAATACAGCAAAACGCATNCAAAACGCATTCCTCAAGTTTGGAAACACCTTCGATTGGATCCCAGGATGATGTGTAGCGCAGCGGCAATATCCGAACTGCTCACACGCAAATGTGATCGATGACGTCCTCAAACGCTCGTAATGAGCTCGTCTATGAAGACGACACTGGCACATAATTTTTGCGGGACCTAGCGCGCTCCTCTTTCAACTGTCGTTTTCCCACCTGGAACCGATCACCTTCGCCATGCTGATTAATACCGGACATTCGTTCTGGACCATTCACTAGATCAACGTCTTTCTCCTCAAGGTGTTTAAAAGACTCCAAGGAAAGTAGACGATTACGACAATCTTTCTGATGGGGCTCTGGACAGATGGTCAACTAACTATTTCAGCATATTTTTTTTCCACCATGAAACAAGATATTGACTGGATTTTTCCTAAAACAGTAACATAATTTGTGTTCTGATTGATTTCTAATTAGACGAACTCATTACGAACATCGTAAGTCGTAAGGAACAACTTAAAACTCAGGAATGAAACTCGTGAGACATTTAAAAGACGATGAAGCTAAGTTCTATTGCTGTTCGCTAGAATTGGATGGATGTCCTCGACACCGATCATCATGAAAAATCAAAGGTGATCGGTGGGCTCTCGGCTACAAAAGGCGACGATTGCGCGGCAGCCTACCCCGCTCGGTTCCGTCTCTCTGCTCGCCGTCTCTCTAACTGACTTCTTCGCCAGCGATCCCCGCTTGTCCAGTCGCCCCTCTTTCTCACTCGTTTAGAACTATCTCCGATTTTTCAACATTTTAGGCGTATTCCTTTCTTAACACAGTGTTACATCACTTTCACTCTTTCACTGTCTACATTTTATACCTTTGTAACAATAATCGTGGCGACCGGTGAGTAAATCTGCAAACGTATTACCTGTTCTTAAGGATTTAATCCTTACTGAAACGACTTCAGATCATGGCTGTGATTATTCTTCTCCAAGCCGACTGAACTTCAACAACGAGGAACCCGTGGGTGACTACGACGCACTGTTTTCGCGGCTCGGTTCAATGGCAAAGGTACGCTTAGAAATGTTCGACCTAATTTATGAGAGCTAAAGTTTCATTGAAAAATGTGTTAGATATCACTTGTAAGTTCGTGCCTGTAAAAAATTTTTTTGGAAAGTATTTCTACTTTTGGATGAGGGTTTTGTCTTCATAAATTTGATGCTTGGACGGCCCGTCTTGACTAGCAGTGTGGGCACCAGCATCATCTGCATTTTCGGAGTTTTGCTGGCATAGCTATTGTGGCTTTTTGGAGTCCCGAGGTTAACCAGATCAAAATCTGCCCTAGCTAGTTGCCACCGCGTGCAGTCACCGCCCTCGCGCCCCAGCAGTTGCATCGTCTTCGTTTTAATGGTGACAATTGCCGACCGTCGAATTTCACTCCCACATTATCCCAGTCCAATGTTCGCATGACGTTCTGGAGGATGGCGGTAAATACTCTTGGTGAGATGGTATCGCCTTGCCTAACTCCTCTTTTGACGTCAATGTTAATATCGCTGTAGAATGGTGATATCTTGGTTGTGAAATTTTTGTACAACTGACAAAGAATCCTTGTGTACTGAGTAGGGCATCGGCAACTTTGAAGGGCTTCTCTGACTGCTTCTATCTCAGCTCAATCAAAGGGCTTCTGTAAATCGATGAAACTGAGACAGAGCGGTCTTTTGCACTTTTGCGATACTTCAATGGGCCGTATTACCCTGTGGATGTGGTCCGTCGAACTAAATTCTCTTCGAAACCCTGCTTGCTCACGTGGCTGTCCTTCGTCTAGTGGTCTTTAAATCCTGTTTAGGATGACTCGAGTAAAAAGCTTGTAGACGAAAGACAGTAAGCAGATTGAGCGATAGTTGCCGATATCGTGCAGGTCACCCTTCTTGAACCATAACACGGTCCTGCTGGTCTTCCACTGAGTGGGGACTTTGCATTCAGACATGTAACGTGTGGAGAGCCGAGAAAGTGTGTTTACGAGGACTAGAGGATGGTTCTTTAGGTGTTCTGGTCTTATCTTGCCCGGAGCTGGTGCTGTTCGATTTCTAACGAACGAAATGGCATGTTGGATTTCGGGTGGGAGAACCGGTGGTGCAACATATCCATCCTCCCTTATTTCATATAACGAAAGGTGGACGTGGCTATCGAAGAGATTCGAGCAGTGTTCGTGAATTATTTCCTCCATTGCCTTTCTGGGCGCTGTAACTGTTTCGTCTGGGCGTCGGAGTGCAATCATCTTGGTCCTGAAATTGGCGAAGCTTCGATGAGCTTTGCCAATGCTTTTCCCAGCCTCTGCAGGTTCGGGCATTACTGTTGCTGTTCTGTCTTTAAGATCTTCTTTTATCGCCTGTTTGCATTGTTTTGCATGTTCGGACGTTAGTAACCGGTTGCCTGCAGCTCGTGCGATTCCACCCTGGCGTATTAGTTCGAGTGTTTCTGGAGACAGACGTCTCTTGGTGACTTTCGAACTCTGATCTTTCATAGCGCTAACGTGATGTTGAATGAGCCGATCGTATTCTTCGTCGATGTTGTCGACAATGGCATCTTCCCAACAGCCGACTAATGAATAAATCCCAGTTTACGGTGGTTCTGGGACTTTGGTTTTTGGAATTTGGTGGCTTTTTCTCCCTTCCGCGAGAAATAGAATCTTGCACGAAGGAGTCGGTGGTTTGATCCCGTGTAGAATTTTGGGACAACAGCGACATCGGTTAGGCGAAACCTTCTATTTACTATGATTTGGTCTATTTCGTTATGGTGCTCTCTATTGAGAGACTCCACGTCCAGCGTTGAGAGTGTGGCTTTTGGAATTGCCAGTTACCATGGATGGTCTTGGTCGTCATGATAAGCTCAGAGAGCCACTCACCCTATTCGCTCGCTTTTAATCCGTGGGTGCCAATGTGACGTTTTTCAGACGTTCTTCTTGGTCCAATCTTGACGTTAAAACCTCCAATGATTATCTTGAAGAATGTGTGGTCTTCTCTGTAGAACTTCTCCAAGTCCATATAGAACACTTCGACTTCTTCTTCGTCATAGGTTGATGTTGGCGCGTATACGACGAAGAATGTCAAAGCCGAAATTGATCCACGTCTTCTTAATCGTAAACGTACGATTCGGGTTGTAAGTTGTTCAAAGGAATCGATGTTCTTGGACAAACTCTTGTTCACAGGAACGCCGACGCCACCCACCGACTCCTCTAACGTCGCATTTTCCGAGGGACAGTTCTCCGATGTCATAGACGACGTTCAAAGGCTGGCATCTTCTCGTCTCGGCCAGGCCGATGACGTCATACCTTATCCTTCTTGCTTGCATTAGCAAGCCTTCTATCGAGGGCTCGGATGCAAGTGTACGTGCGTTGTAGGTACAGATCGTCACCATAGTTCTTTAAAATCCAGTCAGCTTCCATTGGCCCTGGGATTTTAGCAGCCTCACCGTACTCGTCCTACCCAACGCTGCAAAATTGGAAGCTCATTCGAGGTCAGGGGAATAAGGCCCGTTTTTTTCACTGTGTTTAGCATTTTTGATACCCACGTATAGCTTGCTGGGTTGTGAACGTGGGGCTGGACATACTCATGGGTAGCTTGCCAGACTCTCCCAGAGTGGACATGGAACTTATTTGTTGGAGGCGACTCCTGACCGCCTCCCATATACTTTCCAGTCACGTAATTGCAGGCTTGTGGCCGAATTGACACGTAGAATACAATCCGCATGAGCAAGAACTCATCCACGCACGCCTGCATGAATACGCTTAGCAAATACAGAAAGCATGTGCCAAATTAGCGCAGTAGAAACAGGGAATCCACCCCCTTAATCTAAATGCTTCTTAGGAAGCAACCGACTCGAGGTCCCTCATATGAGGAAGACCCGTGATTTGACACTTTGGTGTACTAAAACCTGAGGTGTTCCAGATCAATTCTTAACTCCAAAAAAAATCGAATGGACGTACATCTCACTATCACACGAGAGTTAACGGTGCGTCTGGTGATAATCTTCCGAATAAATGAATGATCCTAATTCCTCATCCTATATGAATTCAGTACGGTTGGTCTCACCTCCTAAATAGAAACTAGAAGAAGGAGAGGGCGTAAGACATTTACAAAGTTTGTTATCATTATTAGAACATCGATTTTGTGTTTTTCGGTGAACAATGCTTAGCAACACATCTAAGACAGTCGTAGAAAACTCGTACTCACGTAACGAACGAGGATAGATTTTCGGCGGTATGAGTTAATATGGCTCAGACGGAGAGAGCGCGGTTAAAAATCAGGCGGCGTCCGATGTCGCAACCGTCGAAAATTAGGCGTCGTTGCGAATATGTCGTTAGTATGTCGGACAATAGAATAGACTCTGAAGAAGCTGCTATTTGTGAAAACGTTAGCCATTCTGAACTACACGATATGTTAACAACCCATGTCAACTTATCGATGATATTTCTTAAGAAATTCCTTTATATGACCAACATACTTTCAACATAAAAACAATTATTCGTGTTAAGACCCAATTCAATTGATTAATTTTCGTTTGTTTTCAACTGCCGATCTCTATTTTAGTTTCTAAATGTTGTGGATGATTGTCAACATGTCATGCCAGTTTCGATATTAGTCATTTGATGTGACTCAAGCATGATCGGTATTCGTTCCAAATGTAAATAGAATACCATAATGAAAGCTATGCTGTCGTTGGTAGGTTGATCGATGTTTCTCGTGTAAAACGAATGCTAGAATCTTCATCAATCATCAGTCTGTATTTTTACATACGTTTTTCAACGTCCAACCTTGTGCTTTTCGTTCTCTTCACTTGCATTCTATCTTACCCATTCCGGTCTCCAGTCAACATCAGTAATAAGGTTCTACTGTTGTGGCACAGTGTTGCAATAATTCTGTTTAACGGTTAATAACACACTATGTATTCGAAATCTGCACCAATTCATTGTTTGTGCACTCGATTAAAAATCATTTTCGGATTTTTTGAACATCAATCAATCCCTGCTTTAATTAAAACACGACCTAAGTGATCTCTGAACGGTTGCCATCATTGGTGTTAATGTGTGAATCGTGTGCATTTATCGAGTTACGTAGACCATCTGGAGTTTTTTCTCTACTCATAATCTTTATCCTTTCTACATCTTGCTGTTTACTTGTCGCTCAGATATTTGTTTCTCTTGAAAATTATCTTAAAAAAATTACAATGGATGTTTGAGATGAGCAGGACATAATATTAAAACAATTAATGTTTTCAGATCTGACATCAATTAATCAATTCAGTGGTTCCTTTTTTACTATCTTACGGTGTTATGCTTTCAATTACCCTTAAAAGCTATTTTCTTTAACAAAATTAGTTCAATTACGGATGTTTTGACTGAATTCGGACGATTCGAGCGAAAGCTTGGCGACGCTGTCGCGTTCGCGAATTAGTTGCGGCTACGGAGGGCATGTATGTGGCAAATACATGTTCATGTACCTTCACAGTTTTCATGATAACTTAGTTTAAGTTACAAATACAATGAAAACGGTGACGCGACAGTGATGATTCTCAGTGAGTAGCATTTTATTTGTGACGCAGCTGTAGCACGTGATGAAGTACAAGCCGTATCAGCCGATTGTGAATACATAGCAATGTTCGACGATAATTCCTCTACCACTGGACTGTTTCAAGAGTTTAAAACTCTAGAAGTTTATTGAAGAGACTTCGCTATATAGCATAATCGCCTATATAGTTTTATACAATGTCCTCTAATGCTTGAATATGCTTGGAACTAAAATTGTGGGTAAATCCCCGTGAAAATTTATGCACTTGTACTATTCCATAGAACAACTTTAGCTGCAAAAATAAACAATAACAGTTGGAGAACACCATAGCATCGTACTGGTTAAAATCCCGCTTGTTTATTTCCTTTCGTGTTCGAAATATTAGCTTTTAAGAACGAAAGAAGTGGAAAAAATATATCTTGTGGATTCCAGGCGATCGTAATTTCTTCGTGGTAAGGAAAACAAAAAGTATTTTATATTATGCTTAAAGATTTTCGCATTCTAATAACTCCTTTCAATCGATAACACTCATTATTAACTGAG